CAAGATAAAATACTTGATGCCGTAGTCTGTCTATGTCTCTTTATATGTTTGTATTTATTTAATGTAAGCCAACTGAACATGGTTCTATTTCCATAGCAGCACAAGAAAGAAAAAGAAAAAGTGAAAAGCATATGATTTGAATTTGTGTATACACACGTGTATGTCTGACAGACAACTTTAATAAAACTTGTTATATGTTCTCTTGCTTGAAATAAAATAAAATAGCTTTTGTTTAGTAGTTTACTATATATAAAAGAGAATTAGCGACGGTTGAATACGATGACAACGGTCAAACGATTGTTATTTGGTATTATATTTAAAATATCAAGATTATAGAAAAGAAGAGACAGAATATAATTGAGAGAATCTTTGAATCGATTCATATGAAGTGAAATGATATATGTATATTATTACCATTACTTCGAATATCATCATATCAAAATTTGAAAAGAATATTTTTATTATTATCAATACAAAAAAAAAACCCATTAATATGTAATAAAAGAAGTTTCTCGAATTCTAAAATAATGAATGTAAACATCATATTACTAATTCAGTTATTATCATCTGAAGAGGGTGTTGTCACGTGCTATTTTATTCTGGTTCTTATTTAGGCTTCTATCAGCATGTGTCATAAGTGGTGGTTGCTGTTTACTAACCAGAATCATTCTGAATAATATGTGTCTATGTATACAGTAGCAATTACCGATCTCTTACTTTATTCTATATACATCTTCGTCATAGTTTTCCTCCAAAGAATATTAAGTAAAAGTCTGTTTTCAACCACAAGCAATGTAATTGGCTAGAAATAACTGGGTTTTTTTTACATATTAGCTGTAGTTTTTTTTTCCTTGACATAAAATATGTTTCTTTTTTTGGAATTCTAATTATAGATATTGCCCACGATCTATGTTTTCCTATTTCAGTAAAACAAGAAATGACAAGCAAAACACCCACTCGTATGGATAGAAAGCGTACAAAGAGCGTGGTGCAATACACTGGCAACATATATCTAGACGTGTTTTGTAGCTAGTTAACATTCTTTTTCTTGATCAATACAATCGACAAAATAAGATGGCATTAGATCGCGATATTCAAGGCAAAGTATGAATAATATATATTGTAATGGTTGAACAGTTGATTTATTATTGTTATTTTATTTATTTAGATGTCCTACAAACGAGATCCTGAACAAGAAAAAGCAGCACAAGAATGGGTCGAAGCTGTAACTGGTGAAAAATTTCCATCAAACGATTATGAAGATGCTCTTCATAATGGAATCATTTTATGCAAGTAAGATTCGATTATATTGTAAATATTTTTTTGTTATAATTTAATTTCTATTTAAGATTAATGAATAAACTCAAACCTGGTTCTGTACCAAAGATTCATTCACAAGGACCTTCAATTAAATTACGTGAAAATATTGGTCTTTTTCAAGAAGCTGCACGTGCTTTTGGTGTCAATCCCAGTGAATTATTTCAAGCTGTCGATTGTTTCGATAAACAGAATATTCAACAAGTGACGGTACGTTTTTTTTTTTGTTTTGTTAATAATCATGATTATTTAATTAAAATAATTTCATTGATCTTGTTTAGCAATGTATTTTTGCCTTAAATCGTGTTGCTCAAAAGAATAATTTAAAGGTACCCAAATTGAACTATCAAACCAAATTACCTGTCTACGATTAAATAACTTATAAAACTGAAGAAAGAAAAAAAACCTTATTAACGATTTGTTATTTACCACTTTCATTTTTTCTTCATTAATAAATCTAATCTAGATAAACAAATAATAAATAACTATGCTTTTATTTTCTATTGATAAATTTGGCAATAATATTTTATTACATATAATATATTGCCTCATAAATAGAGTATTTTAAATTTGATGAATATATTTTCATTTTGATATTTGTACTTCAAATAATGACATTTTGTTTTTGAAAACATCGTCACGAAAATTCAAGATTACTCGTATATAAATATATATTATTGCCTAATATTTTACTATTAGGACACTATAAATAGAAGTATGATTAAGATAATCAATTTAAAATAAAAGTTTAAAGTGTCGTACCAAAAGATCGAAAGTCTCTTTAAAAATATGCTAAATAATTCGCTATTCATTCAATATCATTTTCATAACTTAAAAAATTTTCTTTATTATGAGACATTTTATATGTTCGAAGAATTTGTATTGTTAAATTTGAAAATAATAGAACTGTTTCTTATATTTACATACATGATTCAACAAACCAATACACCTTATTTGTTATTTAGTAGATAGAATCAAATTACAATCAGTCAATAGATAAAATAATGTAATTACTTCAATTTCTTAACATATGTTAAATATTGTATCAGACTTCGTTAAATTCTAATGATATTTTATCTGTGATTCTGCAATTAAAAGCACATATCAATAAATTATTGATACAAGTTCATTTCAACTTTTGATAAATGTACTTAAATATTTATATTTTCATGTGATTTATCAAAAACTATTCTTCATTATATATCTGTCGGCTTCTCTTTTTTACTACCTGTTCATTTTTGTAATTCTGTCTACAAAAAATAAATCTGATTAAATCAAAAGATACAATATTTGTTTTATTTAACAAAATGAACAACTATTTCTATATATGATATTATTTTCTTTTTTTTCAAAAATAGATAAAAACATTATAAATTATCATATCTAGTCCAACTGAGCTAGTGTCAAAGGACAGTGACAATCTCCAATCATGGAAGTTCTCATTTACTTCTCCAAGAAGGCCGACATTTTTTCTTTAATTTCATTAGAAAATATCTTTTTTTTTTCGTCTCCTAAAATGGCAACATATATCCCAATACTAATTACATTGATTAAGCCCTGCTGAAGTTTTTCCTCTTTGCTACTATAACATTCACTAAATACATACATTTTTCTACGACGAACACTTCAACCGTGAAAAAAGAGCACAACTCCTACTGGAAACGCTAAACATCCATAACTATTGTTCATGATTTATTTTTGGCCGTAATTCCTCATTCCAAATTATCGAATGTTTCTGACTGGGACGTAAACAACGCCGTTTAAGGCAGTTTCCATCAAAAAACGATGATTAATATTAGGACCCTGTTTATATCGTTTCTTTTTTGTCGTATATGGCTTAATTCAGCTACTTCTATTAGATTCCACGAAGCATTCAACGTATATTTTCTGTTATTATGAAACGTTTTATCTGATACATAGGATTTATGTGACAAAGTACAATGGAAAATTCTTTAAAATAAATGAATTGTCATACACAAATGTATGGAGTTCAAAGAGAATACTTTTTTTTGAATCAGAGAATTATTGCGAAGCCATTTTTCAATATTTACAAACGTATACGAGATGTTATTTCAATATGAGACAATTAAGTTAAGAGTTAGAACTATAAATAAACTCCACATATAGTATCTGGAATATAAGAAAATCAAGGTTCTCTCAACTATCGTATTCACTTATGAAGAAAGATAGCAAATGGAGAACATGCGAAAATGTGCAATTTTTCTCGATAACTTGATAATCGGAATCATATTGATAATCGAGTGACTTAACAGAAAGATATTTTTGAAGGATATACATTATATTGTCGAATAGGTCTCAATAATATTTATTAATTGATATATAGCTCTAGAAAAGCATTGTAGTGTGGTGCACTTAGAATTTTATTTATTATAGATCGTCAGAGATTATCTAACAATGTTTTTTAAAATACTTTAATTCGGTGTAAAAGCGATATGGAAATTGTGGATTCTGTAGTGTGTTTCTTGGCATCTATTGTATCTTTTGGCATTTTCGCTGGCTACATTTCTCTAAATACTAAATAGCAATGATACTTTATGTTTAAATAGTTCAACATAAAAAAGAATAATATCTACAAATGTCAACAAAGTTTTCTTTAACATGTTTTATATTTACGGATTTTCTATTTCTGATGACTTTAATTAATTTTCTCGGATTTCTCTGAATCATTAACTATCGTTTCATAGTCTGATGGAATCTAGTGAATATTTTGAATGTCTGTAGATCAGAGTGAGTTCTATAGTAGTTCTTATTCATTAGAATTAATCAGAAAGTGTTATTCAAGCATTATTTTTCTCTAAAACAAAAATTTAGTAAAAAATCACTGTAAAAAGTTGATTTTAAGAAATAAGAACACAGTGATGCTATCAACATGGTTTTTTTCTAATCAGTGTAATCAGTACTTGTTGTCAAAAAAAGTTTAAACTCGCTTATAACACATTGTTGTCATTAATACTGTTCAAGTTCTGTAGAAAAGCTTCAAAATTTTGCCATAAAAAAATCTCAAGATAATAATAAACAAAATTTGTTGCTATTAAAAAAAAATAAGAATGAGAAAATAATCAATCCTTGAACTCACTATTCTTATAAATTATTTTGAATTTATATTTCGCTAGAGAAGAATTTGCCTCTTTGTAAAGAAAAGCAAGAGAATTTCATCCTATTCCAACTAACGTAAAAAAGGATTATATTTGATTTCGTAGAAAATCTTAGTCAGAATTCTAAATATCTTTTGTGTCAGTATACAATAATATTCAGTTTATTATTTGCATCAATAACTAAAACTAAACAAATAGCAATACTTAAGTTAATGACTCGTTATTTCAATAGGCACCTGTAAGTAAAGCCCATCAAGTCCAGATCTGAAATTTATCTGTTAACCGAGTCGAGGCTCAAAAATTTTAGGTCCTATGGAATCTCTCTGTAGAAGTGCTGCCAGTATCAAAATTGCAATGTTAACAATGACACTTTGATTCATACCTATCATTGACAGAAACCTATTGAAATTTATGGATAAAGATCAATTACCATTTGATACAAGAAAGTTTTTATCATTGTTTTCTTTCAAGTTTATTTTTTTTGTAACTATCGGAACAAAAATAACAAATGATTCTTACAGACTAAAAACAAAACAATATCTGAACCTATTTAGATTTACTAGATATCTATTTAAGTTTTTTTCGAAAATTTTTCAAACTATTTCCATCATGTGTTAATGAAGATGATACAACAGAATTTTGATCATCATCATAAAGATTTGATAATTTTTGTTTATTCGATCGTATTGATTGCCTATTATCAGATTGTTCTTGATCGATAAATGCACGAGGTGGTGATGACCAATTTGAATATTCTTTTCGATTGTTTTGACCGAGTTGCATTTGATAACGAGTAAGAGATGTTAATAAAAGTTCTATTGCTTTTAATGTCTTATTACGTGATATATCAAGTTGTTGATCTAATTCACATTTAGAATTATTAATATCCGGATCATTAAATGTCTTATTAATTTGATTTCTTATTGATGAAATTTCTCTTTCCGCATAGCGTAATGAATGTTCGTCATGTAAATTTATAGTTGATCGTACAGATTCTATATCACCAATCATTGATAGAACTAATTCACGAAATTTTGATAGACGTTGAGGATGTAATAAATTTAGTAAGTGATTTGAGCAGTTTAAAACCTAAATTAAATAAAAAAAAGAAGACAAATTAAACTTATATTCATATTGAGCATACAAGTTTAAATAAATCAGATTTTTCTTTCGTTTCTTCATCAGTTGATTCTTGTAATGAAGATACTGGTTTAAATAAATCTGTTGATGGTAATGTTTGACAAGCGGACATTGGTAATATTTGGGATTGTTTTATAGAATCTTCTGTATTTATTTCAAGACGATCTTGAGATGATGATGATGATGGAGTATGTGAATAAGAAAATATCGATTTAACATTCGAATGAATCGATGAAGATGTATTCAATTTGTTATTTTTTTCAACATTTTCTAGCCATTGTTTGTGAAGACTCTAAGAAAATTAGACAAATTATTTTTGAAATATAATAATATTGTAAGAATTAGAGTTAAATATAATGAAAAAATTGATTACTTTATTTATTTAATGTATAGATTATTTTCATCTCGAACAATTAATAAAAAATCGAATTTGACATGCACAAAAATCAATTGAATATAACAATAATATAAGTTCAGAAGTGTTTTCTATGGATCTTCGCAGTAGTGAAGGCAGGATTTTGGACTCTTGTCTCCTGGCTCCGCCACTAGGTGTTCGATATTTTCTTAAAGCAATATTCTCTCTCTTTTAAAACTTCGACTTTGGGTGGACAATCAGAGAAATTTTTGAAGTTTTGTTCTTTTCTAGTAAGTCTTCATTCGTAAAAATCTATTAATGATAGCTTAATTGAGTTTATCTTACTGTTCAATTTTTTTTGTCATTCAAATACCTTCAAATGATCATAAAATTGAGAAAATGACTTATTCATCATTGAAAATATTTCAATATGACCAAATTGTTTCTTATTTAGCTTAAGTAATGTTTTTGTTGATTGACATACATCATTAATATCATTAAAACTATTCGAATATAATTCAATTTCAGATTGATGCATTAACTGAATAATTTCATTTGATTGTTTTAGTTTTTCTTTTAATAGTTCAATTGTTGAACAAACATAACCATGAATAATACATACATATTGAAATAATTGAATTAAGATTTCATCAAAACTATTTTGATTAATCAAATCACGAACTTTTTTTATTAAATCATTACTTGATTTTTCAAATGAATATTCTAAATATAAAACTTTATCATATAGATAATATATTATCAATTGATTACCCAATGAAGATCTAGAAAATATTTTTTTTATCTTTATCTACAAAAAAAATAAATAAATAAATCTCATACTGATCTAATGGCTGTTGACTTGAAGCTTGCTGATTGTCTACGAGCCATTCATTTTTAATTGATGTTGATGCTCTAATAAAATAAATTAATTGAAAAAAAAGTATCTTTCAAAATCCTGTTTACTTTTGTTTTGTTGTTGTTGTTTTCATTGTGACTTTGTCTTTTGTTTTAGTCATTATTCTTTGTGGTTCATCTTCATCATTAACTTTAAAACAAAAAATGAACAAGATTATGTGAAATTGAAAAAAAGAATCAAACCTTCATGAGTACATAGATAAACTACTGTGCTATTAGCACTCAGTCCATACGTGTTCATATATTGAGAAAAATTTTCATATTTATTCACATCTAGTAAACGATATTGAAAATCATATAATGATGTTTTGTATTTCGAATCGTCTATAATGAAGAAAAACATGATACAAAATAATTTAGAATTATTTTTGTTATTTTACTCAAATTGAAAATATTAAGAAGACGACGATGAACAGTATCGAAATCCATATCGTTATCATCCCAAGTACAAAAACGAGTACCACCACCATTTTCAAGTTCAAGTTTTCTTATTGTACCATCTTTGGTAAGTGTCAAACGGCCACCACGAAATTTTTTATTCATTTATTATAATGATTATCTAAAAATTCAAAACTCGCGTAGGTAAAATATATTGCAATAGAGTTATGATCATTGAATATTATTTTCATGTTCGTTAATATAAATCGTTCATAAATTACAGTTATTTCACTTTCGAGATTAAAATTCTTGAAAAGAAAAGAATTTGAGAAAAAAATTACGAATTATCTATGAAACTCCGTCGCCATCTCGTATATGTTATAATTAGTATGGAAATTCAACCAATAGAATTATAGACTATGTTAGGCAATTTGAATTATTTTATATATTATCTTTGTTCAATCAATAGAACAATATTTTGTTATCACTAATAAATATTGGTTTGATTTAAAGAAATTTATGTTAGAACAAATGTCTTTATTTGATACACATCAAGAAGATACAGATGAAGAAGAAAATAATGTCAATGAACAAGAACAAACTGATAATGATGATATTGCATTTGTTGCAAAACTAAAATCAAGTCGAACACTTGCCAGTATTCTCAAAACTATTCATTTTGCTGATGTAGGGTTAATTGTTATATATTCATATTATTAGATTTAATAATCGAGAAGAATAATAGTTATAATGAATTCTAACTAAAATCTGTTTTGTTTTAAATCTATTTGAATAGAGTTCTACAAAATCTTCTGTCTATTTCATGATTAATATTACTCATTTGTAACGAGAGATTAAAAGATATGTTTGATTAATATCAAATCAAATTCTTGTCGATTAACATTGAGTTTGATAAGAAAACAATTTTTTTCAAATATAGACTAATGAGTCAAATTATTCAACACTAAAAATGATCAATTGAAATGTTTAATTAGAAAAAAATGTCATTCATTTGATGCAATATAAATGCTGTAGAGATCAATTATATTTGAACAAAACTGTATAATATACAAGAGTTCTTAATTTAAATTTATCAGAATTCAAATATATTTATTTAAGAAGACTTCTGTTTAGGATGCTATATTTTGTGCATTACCAACTGGTATAAAAATCATTGTTGAAGATAAACAATGTGTACAAGGTAATGCTTTTATTGATACACGTGTTTTCGATTCATATGAATTGGTGCGACAAATTCGATTTCGATTTCATCTTGAAACTGTTCTTGTATAATTTTACGGTGCCTTATTTTTTATTTGTTTTGAATATTTTATCTATTTAGAATTGTTTGAATGTCTTTGGTATTCCACTTGATCCGGTGACACATGAACCATTACCAACAAATGTTGCTGTACAAATTCATTATCGTGAAAATCAAACACATCCATTACAACTTTAGTAATTTATCATTACTTATTTATTGATTTTGTAAACGATCAGAGATATCATTCTGTTTTTTCTTATTCATTTCATAGTTTAGAAGAAGAAGGTGTAATTACTGAATGTTTAATCAAAGTATTAGATGATACAGATACAATTGATTTTGATTTTCAAACAGAAAATGTTGTTACTAAAGTTGTTTTCAAAGTTAGTAATCAATAATGTAACAAATACTTTTGATTAACTTTTAATTGTAGGCTAGTGGATTCAAAGAAGCACTTAGTGAAATTGATCTCAAAGCTGATTGTAAATATTTTATTTATTCTTCTTTTCATTTCTGCTATTTTTATTTTTTAAAGGTATTGAATTATTGATTACTCAAGATGTTCCACATTTTCGTCTTATTGCTAATGGATGTGGAGGTAGTACATCAGTTGATATAAATCAAGATTCACCTGTTATGGATACATTTCTATGCACAGAGCCAGTGAATAATCGGTAATGTTTGTTTTCTCTTTTCATTTTAATGAACTTATTCTTCAGATATAAAACTCAATTTTTTCAATATATTGTTCGAGCATTATCCATTGCAAGTAAACTTTCATTACGTATTGATGCTGCTGGAATTCTCTGTGCACAATTTCTTATTTATACCGAAAAAGATAAACCTTCACTTGTTGAATATTTTGTAAATTTGTTTTAAAATTAAATTTTATTATAGTTTTTATTTTTATATATTTAGTTTGGACCTGATGAAGAACTTAATGAGCATGAAGCAAATACGCAATCAAGTGACGTCGTTCTAATCGAAGACTAAAGCCGGTGTTTTCTTATACTTGTATAAATGTTCTTTTTTTTTCCATTCAAAATAAAATGAAACTACAAAAGATTATTATAGTTGCTTGAGCTGATTGTTTTTTGTTAGAAAATTTCATAAACAAAAAATGTTTCAATAATCATAGGTTTTCATTGACCAATATTTTAGTTCAAAGAATCCAATTATCGAAGTATTAGAAGACTTTGCTCAAAACCGGTGAGCATCTAGATTTTTAGTTGTTCTGTTTTTTTTACATTCTTTTAAACTAAATAACTGATTTAAAATATCAACTAATATTGATAATAATTTTATGGATACACTTTGAATATTTCGAAAAATAAACTGAAATAAAGTAGAAAAATGAAAGTAGCATAGCAGTATGAAAAAATAAGTAAAAGTTTAAGCAATCAATAAAGCATAGTAGAGCTCATACAAATCAATAAGAGAATGTATCCTGATGCACTGATGTTTAATTTTTGCCGATATCTAATCTGAATCATTGAGTAGTTTTCATTCTGTTTTCGAAAAGCAGCAATATTTAATTTAGAGCAAGTCTAAATGTTTATCTAAATAAATGAAAAATTTATCCGCTTTTAAAACATAACATACGAATCGAAGTCTGTTCTGAAAGTTTTCGAATTTCTGGAAAGATAAAAATTTGAACATTGTACAAAATATCTCTGTTAATATATTATGTTTGAAATAGACAAATTTTTATTTATTTAGATAAATATTTCGACTGGCTCGAAATTAGATATTTAGAAAATAAAATGAAAACTAATTGATTAGATTAGATATCGACCAAAAACTAATAATCGTTTATCACAAATTATGCGTTTAATCATAAACGAATCACTGCTTATAACATCAATAATATAGCGTTTGAATGATAAGAACGCAATTTTTATGTTTTACTTAGAAAATCGTTTATTGTGATAAACGAGTATTTTGGACAATACGTCACGCTCTAAACACTGTGATGTTAAATATAGTATAAACGGGAAGCAAGGATCCTTTCAACTAACTGAGTGTACCAATAATAAGGATACGACCTTTCCTCATCTTCTATCGGTTCAATGATGTTAGAGCATTCGGTCACAATACGACTAAACGCTCTGACCTCATGACCCATAATAGCTGTCTGCTCAATCTGTCCTTTATTCCCTCTTTCCTCTATTCTCACTTCTCTCTTCGTCTTCTTTCCATGTCTCATATATAAGCTCGTGTTCTGTATGAAGCGGACAAAACTGGAGCGATGGAGTAGTGTAGTGTAGTGAATATCGTATACTTGAAAATAGCGCTAACGCTACTCCTCCATTTTTTCAAGATCGATTACTATAAAATAGATACTGCAGTAGTAATGAAAACGAGCTATCCTTCATTTCCATTACACTGGGTAAGTGTCTGACAACATTCTTGTTTTTAGTGACTCATTGCGTTATTCACCATGAATCTTTCTCGTTCTCTTCTTTATTACACTGACTCTTTTTCTTCTGTTACTCACGCCAACATATCAACCTTTCGTGTCAATAATAAGTCATCCATTCGACAACTTTTCTTACTTCGCACCATCTTTGTATTAACGAGCACTACCATCATAAACGCATTCATTTTCTCAACATACTCCGAATCAAACACGACTCGACCTTAATCGTCCACAAGTTAGAGCAACATATGCTTAGTCACTTAAATAAGCCAGTGTCAAACTTAGCATGCGATCATTCGCTGCCGATGTCATTATTAAGCAAGCCTTTCTCAACAATGAAGTAATTTTGATGCAAGAATAAGCGATTGGCTATGCTGTTATTGCTCATATTGACGATTGAAAAATTATTTCTAAATTAGAAAAGAAGAAAGAAATGCAAATAGAATAAAGCGTTACTCTTCAACAAAATCATGATGTTTATCTGTTTCAATACAATGAAAAATTGCAAGATAATTTTGTCGTTAACATAGAGACGTCACTATCGAGCAAGGAATGCCACGTCTTTTTATCGTACGTCTTCAAATTGGATCTCATGTAAAAATGGAAACAAAATACGATCTGTCATTTCAATATGAATTTAGAAGAAAGAAAAAAGACACTCGATTTCAAACTGAAATGAGGGACTTGCAAATCTTTAGAATTATGATTATGATATCTGTAGTATATACCCTCTATTTTTGTAGGATGTGGGTATTGCAGTCCTTTAGATGTATACTGGTGATGTATGTAGTATATACGCCTGTTTTCATAGGGTGTGGGTTTAGATCTTCTTTTGATTCATACCCACACCCTATAAAAATAGGTGGTATATACTGCGCATATCATCATCATAATTCTAAAGATCTGTAAGACACGCACTCTATATAAATAGGAAGTATATACTGTAGATATTATCATCATAATTCTAAAGACCCGCAAGATACGCAGTTTTTGTGGAAAAGGGTGCTGTTGTTTCCTCAAAATTCAGTTTGAAATTAAAAAAACCATAGATTCCATTATATCTCGGTATCAGGTGTGTTTCAATGAGGTGAGGGCGTGAGTGAGGGCTATAGGGTAATATTGTCTTTTTTGTCTTCGTCCACACCTTCATAACTCTTTATCGAAGATCATTGCTGAATAGTTTTAGGCACTAATTTCGTATGACACAATCTTATCGGCACGAATGATAGATAGAGATTTAAATTAGAGCTAGACGATACTTAACTATCATGTGAAAGAAAACTCTTTAAACTTCAAAATAAGGTGTTCTTCAACTGTACACATCTCTCGGCTGCAAAGCTATGAGTTTTACGAAACTTTACTGAGTTACGCTTTTTGGTTCCTACCCTTTGACAGCACTTCGTAAGATCTGTAAATTTTTGCACCTAAGGAGACTCGATGTTCTCTAACACTTGGCTGTTTCAAAATTTTTGTTCTAAAAGGTTCAAAACAAGTCTCTGACGACTCTAGAGACTTATACTAGAAATTAATAATAGCAATAGCAAAAGCAAATAGGAAATTCATGATCACCATCTCAAATATCTTGAGAGAGCCTAGAGCGCTGGCCAAAATAATAAAATCTTCTATTTGTATTCAATTGTTTGCTCATTTGAAATCAATGATAATTTGGAATGAAAATGCGTTTATCCAAAAACATTGACTTTTAGGGTAATTAACCTTTGCTAGTTAAATTAGCTATTGATATAAGATTCAGGTCAATACTCGTTTAAATATTGATTATAATCTATTAAGATATTCAACTTTAAAATTTCTGTTTAACAATATGAATGAATGGACAGAAATCCTTTATTTAAGCAAAAATATTATTCTGATTTATAGATGTCGAACTGTAACTTCAGTTAAATATTTTTAGATATAGATGGAAACAAAAATCATCTTCTTGGATATTGATGGAGTATTATGTTTAAGGAAAGAAATTGATAAAAAATGCCTACAAAATTTGAAGACTATAGTAGACATGACATCTGCTCGAATCGTTTTGACTTCTTCTTGGAGGTAATTGGAAAGTTTCCATTTTGTTAGTTCTCCATCTCGAATTTAATGTTCTATTTAGATTTTTTCCAAAGTCAAGATCCAAAATCGAATCATCTTTTAAAGAAATTGGTATTGATTCCTTATTAGGATGGACTAGTGATCGAGGTAAAACAAGAGTAGATGAAATCTATCATTGGATGGAAGCTTTTGATAATAAAACCACTCAACAACACATTATTATTAAGAAATGGATTGCCATTGACGATATGGATTTATTCCAACTTGATAAAAATCGAATGCAAGACCATTTTGTAATGACTACAACATTGCATGGAATTACAGAAGAAACAATCAAAGAAGCAGTTATGTTACTTTCGTAATATTGTCTGACTCAGTCGAAATATTTTACTAATAAAAAATATTGAGCAAAAAATTTAATCTTTCTTTATGCTCAAGTAATTAGAATACTTTTGGATATAATAGAGAGCATGGATGTGGTGACGGTTCCATAAGATGGGTGAGTGTGATAGTGAAGATGATGGTAAAGGTACAGATACAGAAATATTTACACTCGAAGGTGTGGTCAGTGTAGACAAGACTCTTCTCTTTTCCCACAACCTACACAAACTCCTACACCGAACTAGCCCGAGAGCTGCGACGGCAAATGTGATTGTCTTGAGAGAGAAGGCGAGTGCGTATTCAAAAAATTGGAACTGAACAAATGTAATGATAACGAATGTCGATGCTAATATAGCGAGCAGTATGTTCCACTAGTCTTCGTACGCAACAAGGAGAAAATATGGATTATTGAGATGACACAGACGAAGGCAAGATAGGAGTGCCATACATTAGTTTGCGATACTGAATAGACTGTGTTAGGATTTCAACGTTTCGATTGAAGAGCGCTTTTCCCGACAAGATTACTCTTTCTAATGCAATGATGACGAGTGTTCTCTAGCCTATTCATTTCCTCTATTCAACTTTTTCTGTCATAATCGTCATAATGTTGAAATGACTCGGGCTGCGCTCACTTCGAACAATCATATTTTGTATTTTGTATGCCTACCGTCATAATACTAGTTCTCGTTCTGTTGAACATGAAGAAGTTTACTACTTGCTTTAGATGGTTTTCGTGATTTCCATCGTCGAAATTAGTAGTTTGCTGTTCAATATTGATCTTACTGATTGTTATTGAAAGAAAGTTTAACTGTTGCTCTACTCCTAAACAAAGTGATTTTTATTTTCACTTATATTTAATCGATTGAAATTCTATGATGTAATCGCTCGTATCTTATTCGAGGGCTGCACGTACACTGTTTACGCACTGTAGGTTACAGAAGAGATCTGGAATGATAGTCTATTGATACGAGTATCATGCTGACTTATGTCTGTACTACACTCCACCCGTACGGTGCAACATTGGTTCAGTCGTTTTAAGAACGGTAACTTAGAACTCGATGATTTACCTCGACCCGGTAGACCACTGGAAGTGGATATGGATCTCTTAAAGCAGCTTATCGAACAAGATCCTCGATTGACTTCACGATGTTTAGCAGACCAGCTTGGATGCTCTCATACCGCGGTGGAAAAACAGCTGAACGAGTTAGGCAAAACATGGAGATATGGAGTTTGGATACCTCATGCGTTATCACCACATCAACTTCAATACAGGGTTGATGCTTGTATGGATTTAGTGACATCTCACCGCAACTACCAATGGCTCCGCAATCTTATCACTGGCGATGAGAAGTGGGTGTTATACATTAACTACACGCACAGACGTCAGTGGCTGAGTGCTGGTCAAACAGCCATAGCAACACCTAAGACTGATCCACATTCCACGAAAGTAATGCTGAGCGTTTGATAGAGTGTCAATGGGATTATTCACTAGGAAATTCTTCTAAATGGTTGCACCGTCACTGCTGATCTCTATTGTCAACAATTGGGCCGGGTTGCAGTAAAACTCTAGGGAAAGCAGGATCGAATTTATTATTTGCATGATAATGCAAGACCCCATATTGCAAAGTCGACTGGCGAAAAATTATTGAAGCTCGGATGGATTACCGTTCCTCATCCACCTTGTTCTCCTGACTTGGCTCCAACGGACTACCATTTGTTTCGTTCTCTTTCGAACCATTTACGTGAGAAAAAGTTCGACAACGAGAACGACGTCAAAATGGAACTCGTCAACTTCTTCGACCAAAAATTCCAGAACTTCTACGAACGCTGGATCCTATCCCTGTCAAAACGTTGGGAACAAGTGATAGATAGTAGTGATGGGTATATAATTGAAAGCTAGTTGTACCGTTAGAGGCGAAACATAAAAATAAAATTTTTGAAAAAAACGTAAAAACTTTGTTGACAACCCAATATTATACTGTATAGTGTTGATACAAACAAAGGTGAGAACACAAATAAACATTTGAATCATTTTTTTTAATGATGCAAATACTAATGCAGTTCATCCGACAATGACTATATTATTACAGTTGAACAGTTGAGCAGCTGTCTCATAGATAAATGTCATGATAAATGAAAGTTTAGCAAAATTATATCAATTAATTGACATTTTTCATTTGATTCTTTCAATGAGCGAAATATAACTAGAAAAAGACAATCTATACATTAGGGCCTCCTACGACGGGCACTTACCATTTGACCACAGACTCGAGTCTTCCATTGTTATTTTTTTGTCTATGAACATGTCCAAACTTTGAACGCATGTTTTCGTCTCAATGCTACAGATAACTTCTATAGGTGTATAGGAAGAGAAAGCAACTTGTAACTGCAGATGACGAAAAGCAATGATGATGATGATGATGACAATTTACAGAAAACCTTGCACTATCTAGCTATGGAAATCTTTTCTATTTCGATACAAGGCATCATGCTATATTTGCTCTCAATAATATAAGACGTCGATGCAGCATACCATGGACATATATTCACAATTGTAAACTAATAGGACTTCTCTAAATTTTAGATCAGTTTACTGCAGAAGAAACCGGCACAAACAAAATATTATAGATGAGAATAGCTAAGATTTATCACATCTTGAACAGTTAAAAAGAGTCTGATATCGTGTGGCATTCTTCTTTTTTTCTTGCCGAAAAGTCGCAAAAGCATATTAAATGTAACATTTGTCTGAGACTTGTTAAAATGAATGCTTTTTGGAGCTTTTTGATTGTTGTACTTCATTATCTGTTATGTACACAGTGGCGATATCCACTCATCACTAACCGTTCCGTTTTATTTTTTTTCCTTATCGAATCTTGCCTCCACGCCTTGCCTAGTATCTAGAGAAAACTGGTCGAAAACATATCTCAACACTATCTGTTTGCTGTGTCATGGATCACATGATATTTGAGTATATTAAAGAGAGCAATATGATAGCAAGACAAAAAGTACTATTATCTTTCTGTCGAGTTATTGTTTTCTTTTTTCTCATTGATAATATTACCTATGCGTAATGTCAACAAGTTAACGTCACTACCGACTCTTTTGTCCCTGATCTTTATCTCATATTTTATTGCTTCTCTTATGCTTTTTGAGCAGTAAGATAATGACTTAGTGAGAAGAAATGGTAAATATGATGATGGAAATATTCAAATATTGTTTTGATCTCAATTGTTGATCTTTCCTTCATTCACGCGTTTGCTTCTCAGCTTACTTTTCTTTCGTTCATTCTGGTTGATTTTTATGTGCTTTTCATATTATAAGAAAAATAGTCTGGGTAAAACAAGAGTTTTATCATCTTCACATGACTATTATGCGTCTACTTTCTGAGATAATAATACTGGATGTATGAGTGGCTGCTACCTGATTCGAATTAAAATGAACCTTGGGAATACTAAGCATCAACAATCATAGAAATATCCACTGTGCTTGAGTCAAAGTAGGAAAAGAAAGCATACTTCTAATTCTAACAGAAACGACTCAGTTCGAATCATGAACAGTTGCTCTTCATTTTCTTCAGTTATTTTCCAATGAGAATTGATTTGCCGCGATCCGTTTTGTATTCGAATTAAGTAATTTAGGGCATATATTTAAGTGCTCTTATTGATATCGTGTTTGATCAAAGGCAAACCAAGAATCATTGATATATATCATCAACAACATTCATATAATTATTTTCAGAATGTCGTCGCGATTTCTGAAGTCATTCAGTAAAATATCTACGCATCGTCGATGTGACAATTGTGGTATTACAATCGATTACGTAGTTTGGAAACAATGTACAATATGCGAAGTTTTTGATTTATGTCCTACATGCGCTGAACTTGATTATGCTGAACTATTACCTGGAACTCATAGTCGTCATGAACGCTGGCATCGAACACTATCAAAAACTGAGCCAATAACTGACGATTGTTTGAAATGGTTATTGGTTGAACAAGCTGAAAAAAACGGGAAAGAAGCTCGAAAGAAAATAAAACAAATGAAATATGAGCAGATACAAAAGGAGAAGAAAATTGAAAATGATTATGAACTGTATATTGTTACGGAAAAGTTAAAGCAACTGGGAAATGAATCATCGACATCCTCCCAAGAAACAGAGTTGAATCAATTAAACTCATTAATCGCAGGATATCATTTACAATCATTTCAACGAAACATACGTGTGCTCAGCTTAGACGGTGGTGGTAAGATCAACGAAAGTCTTCTCTTTCACATGCATATTCTAGCCTTGTTTCTCTTGCTTCTAGGTGTACGCGGTTACATGCCTATCAAAATTCTTGCTCAACTTATAACAGAAAAATTTCTCTCTAGTTCTGAGCAATTTAACCCCAATGATACAGCTTACAAGGAACGATTTAAAACGGCTCAGTTGCGCTTTACGGATCAGTTTGATTACTTGATCGGTACTAGTACTGGTGGAATCATCGCCTTTTGTTTGGCTGCGAATTATAATATATTGGACGCGATGGATATCTATGCAAATTCTTCTCACTATTTTAAGCGCAACTATTTGGGACCTTTAATCTATTCCAAATATGATCCATCTCGTATTCATCATAAGATTGATGAGATAATCAATGGAATTCAACTCAAAGATGGTACACGATTATCAGCTGAAAGTGCTACTTTACTTGATATCCGTAATCTTTTAAATCCTGACAATACGATTGATAATGAAGAATCAGCATCGGTCTTTCCATTACGTAGCAATTCCTTAGAATTTATTGATGACAAGAACTTTGTAGAGGAGCCAGAGTCCACTGATGAAATTGGCAATTTTCATCGCGCCAGACGTGAAAAAGTATTACTGATTACTGCGTACAATACAACAACAGACAGCATGACAATATTTAATACAAGTTATGCTAAGCATTGGGGTTATCGAATTGCAGATGTATTAAAGGCTACTATGGCCGCTCCAACTTATTTCCCACCACATGAGATATGGAGTGGAACGAAACATCATGGACATTTTATGAAAGAAGGAACACCGGAATTATATATTGATGGTGGTGTGTTTGCCAACGATCCAGAATTAGCTGCGTTATGGGCAATACGAATGCAATGGAAAAAACCAGTCAATTATCATTTACTTTCGATTGGCACAGGCTGTTATAATACAACACTATCGTCATCTACTTGGGGCGGTTATTTGGGATGGATATTTAATAAAGGATTCTTAATCAATACTTTAATGGATGCAACACGTAGTTTCATCGAGACTATTGCTAACAATTTGGCCAAATTCCATGATGTCAGACGAATGAAATTAAATTATCAAATAACAAAAGCGATGGCTTTAGACGATGGCAGTTTTGTAAATAAATTCGATCAAGAATGGGAAACTTTGAAAACGGGAGAAGATTACAAAGCATTGGTTTACTTTCATGACACATATATAGCGATATAGAATGAATCGAACAAATAATCCAAAATTCTATGTCATTTTTTGTCATATTTCCTTCTCTTTCTCAATTTATTGCGTTTGATTACTAACAGTGACAAAGATAAACTTGACGTTTTTCTGGTACATCTCATATTCTGAAAGCGTACTTTTTTATTTTGAGGCTGATGCGGTTCATGAGAACAAGTTCGAAAGAGTTGGTTTCTAACTATAGAAGAAATCAGTGAAATCGGATTTGAAATTGAAAGAACATTGACAAATATACAAGGTAGAAAGAGTGAAATCCTACAATTCGAGAATCCTATAGAATCCAAGGAAGTTCCAGATAATTTTCAAGAATTCTAGAGAATTTTTCAGATTTTCCGGAATTCTTAAGCATCCTTGGGAATGGGGGGGGGATCAATACAATTCTAGGAAATTCTTTGGACTTCTAGAAGATACTATAGAATCTTGAAGTCTAAAGTCTAAAAGTCCTTAGATGTACTTCTATTGCAGGAAAACCTGTTACCATATATCAACAATGAACGTAGCATTATCAATAATATTTTTCATAGCGTCCTCATTCATAATTTCCTTTTCTCAAATCTTCTGAAGGTGGGTATCTGTCTTCTTTGCATTTATATCCAAAGCTATAGCCACCCACAACGTTGCCCACGTCCACACGTACATCAACATTGGCATCCATAGCCACATCCACAATGCACATCCATACCCGCACCCACATTGACACCCAAACATCCATTTCTCCTGCAATCTGGAGATCAGTTAGCTTTAAACAAAAGAACTGCGATGTTGTGTTGAGTGGTATGTGCGGGTCTGTGTTTGGTAAGGAAAATTTCCTAGAAGCACTTTATCCAATGAGCAAGATATGTTCTACCATTCTCCGTACTACATACGTTAATTTATACGAGATAATTTCTCAAGATATACCACATTTCATTGACATACTATTTAATACATGCCTATAACTTGCCACTCGAATCTAATCGAGTATTACGACATACTCGATCAATGAAGAATCGAGGCCACAATAAAACTGTTTTTTTGGCATATGAAATCTTCTTGAT